TCTTTCCCCATGTAAATCAATGGGAAAAAGTGTTTCCGGGCCTGGCAACCAAACGGAAGTGTAGTACCGCCGTTTGGCCAGCACGAATATTTTCATCTGAGTCCGGCGCACTTCCTGGGGGCTTGGTTCTGGTGCTCTCCTTCAGAACTGCACCCCTGTCAGACGAGACATATACCACGTGATGGTGATGACACGTTAGGCTCATGATGTGTTCAAGGACCCTGACCTTGGCCAGGAAAAACAGGCACTCGCTTGTTTAATTTTTTTGCGGTCTCGATTTCTTTAATTTTTTTTCTTTTTTGCGTGTGTTTATAAATTACCTCGAGGGCCGTAGCGAAGGTCTCGTGGGCCGTATGCGGCCCGGGGGCCGGAGGTTCCCCACCCCTGATGTAGATTATTCCCAGCAGCTAAAGTACCGCATACATCTAAATCAGGGGTGGGGAACCTCCGGGCCGCATACGGCCCGCGAGACAATTTGGTACGGCCCTCGAGGTAATTTATAAACACACGCAAAAAAGAAAAAAATGTAAGAAATCTAGTCCGCAAAAAATTAAACAAGTGAGTACCTGTTTTTCCTGGCCATGGTCAGGGTCCTTGAACACAACACGAGCCTAACGTGGTATATGTCTCGACCCGTCTCGTCTGACAGGGGTGCAGTTCTGACGGAGAGCACCAGAACGCCACTCCGGCACTTCAGAAATTGCAGTACCGATAAGGAGCCGTACACATGCCGCAGTTTCTGCGTGTCAGTGTCTTTAGTTGAAAGCCCAGTGGCGATCTGATCATCTGTCATTCTGACCATACAGTCAATAACTTTGTTGTTATTAGCATCTGGTTAGCTAGCTATGCTAACGAATATAAGAAGCTTTTTCTACAACCAGTGAGGTAGAGGCACATCTTTATATGATCATTATAGTTATCAAAAAATAAGAGAATAAAGTAAACAGGTATAAAATACTATGACAGTAAAAAAAAGTTGTTATTAATAAAGAAGAATAAAGTTTGAAAGGAGAGTAATTTGCCAAATATTCATAAGGAAAAATAAATCTGCTTCCAGTTCTGTTTCATATGGGTGTTGAGAGATGTATCCATAGATCTCTTCATGTTGCTCTCAAAGTGCACCAGATTGATGCTTTTAACGTCAACATTTAAAAACAAATCTTCCCGGGGGAGCATGTCTCCCGGACCCCCCTAGAGGAGGTTAGGGCCCCCCCCCCCCCCCCCTCACTTAAATCATGTCCACATGGATAGGAAACTAAATACATTTGCACACATCTTGTATGCATCTTTCTGTTTTGGTGGTCACGCCACACCGTGCATGCATGAGTCATGGTGAGATATCTGGATTAAGAGGTTGCTTTTTCTTTGCACAGAATGAAATGAATGGGCTGTGATTTTAGTTTTTTTAAGCAGAGGTCAATAATTTGTACGGCCCTCTGAGGATATTGTAAAAATTGAAATGGCCCTTGAGAAAAAAAAGGTTCCCCACCCCTGATCTAAATCTTCGCTAAATGACAAACTTATTGCTTTAAGAATTTTCTGGTCTTCCCAATTACAGTATATGTAAAATTGTAGTCGCTTGGGGACTCTTAAGCATCAGTTGAATTCAGTGGTTTGATACCGGCATACAGCAGAGGGATCATTATTGGATTAAAATAGGCAGATTAAGGTTCGGTGGAGCTTGATGACCTCATAACCCCTTTGTCCCTATACATGTCATGATTTTCTTCCCCAAGACTACGTTTAGCAAGAAAGGAAAATTCTGTTCTGAGATCTGTCCTGTACATACTTTGGTGTTTAACATTACAACTTTTAATTTCACAATTGTCTCATAGGTAAAGCCAGGATTTTTGATAAAAGAAAAATCACAAATATGTTGGTTAAACAAAAATGTTTTATTCACAACGCAAATTAAACGGGTTTAGCGTTTTCCACCGACACGGGGTGCGTTGATCTTCATCGTCTTGGCGACCTTGGGCTTCTGTGCAGTCTTGGCAGCCGACTACAGAAAGAAATACAGAAAATAGTTACAAATCCTCATAAAACATAAGGTTGCTCAATAATCAAGTGAATACTAGGGAGCAGGCAAACAATATCTTAACTCTGTGATTCATAACTTTGAAACATAGCATCCAACATTTATTGATGAAGGGATACAACTAAAAACAGCTCTATCTGTATGGCTTCAGATCTTACCTTTGCACTGGCGGCAGCAGGCTTCTTTGTTGCTGCCTTTGCCTTCTTCACCTCCTTGGCAGCCCTGATAGAAACAAGAGAAACAATCAGCCAAACTGAACAAGGAGAATATTTGCATACCATCTTCTGTCATCATGTAATCTTAATATTTGACAAGATTGCTGAAAATAGATCCAACTAGAGAAATCCAATCACAGCAATAACAACGCATTGTCGAAAACAAACAAGTTCTGTCAATAGTTCCAAAATAAGGCAGAGATGTTTTTGTTGTCAGGTTTTGATGCTGGTAATTTCCTAGACACCATTGTACTTAATTGACAAGTGATTCCAGAAGAGCGTTTCAAGCTAAAACAAAATGTGCTTTAAGTAATGCTACAGAAATAACCAACAAAACAAAACAAAGAGCCAATATTGTTTCTTAAAAAATAAAAACACATTCTAAGAGCAATTCTTTTTTTCCCTCATCCACTTGAAAGATTGATGACATTAATCAATTTAAATGCTACAACCTACAGAGTTTAACTGACCTCTTCAGAATTTATATAATGTGAGGTTCTTAGCATAAAGTGTCCTTTAAAAGGTTGCAAAATGACAGCTGTTTGCAGGGCTAGCAGGGACAGATTACCACGAGATGGCCGACAAAAGTTGACTCAAATTCCACAATTATAACTTTGTGATATCTGTCCTGCTAAAGTGATGAACCCTTCATGTTTAAGTTATTCAGCCTGATTCAAGAGCAACCAAGAAACTGCATTCATCTTAGATAAAAGCATGTTTGTGTCCTCACCTGATGGCCTGCTCCCTCTGGGCCTTGCGGACCTCTGGCTTCTGGTTCCTCTTGGCCATGATCTCGGCCAGGGAGGCCCCAGTGATGGCCCTCTGGAACTTCACTGCACGACGGGTACGCTTCTTTGCGATCTCTTCCTGTTAACACATTATGACAAAAACCAACATTACCAACATGCCCTACTTCTGTTCACTGAACCACCTAAAAAGGACCCTACATAACGAGTAGTTTACATAAAACATGCTGCGTTGAATCAGTAAACCTGCTACCCGATGGAGGCAAAAGCTGTGAACTGAACCACGAAACGTTCTGATCATAAACTGCAGACTTTGCAGAAAGTTACCAACACTTGCATGTCTAGACTATACTTTTAAATGTTGGAATTCACTATTTTTCAAAGTAGCGTCATTTAACATACGTCTAAGCACGTTGTAGAGACCCAATGTGTCATTGAATCAGACGGCACATAATACAGTCTGAGTTGAGAATGATGTAGCGTGTAGGAGAATTTGGAGGCTGGCCAATGGAGAAATGTCATTTAAGACGTCAAGGACCAGTACTATGACCTCCTGTTGCTCTATGGCTGCAGGTGTGGAGTGAGCACTGCTGCCCAGCCTGCAAAACGCAGTCAGGCAACAGCACATGACACAGATCGACACCGTGCACACCGTTCACCCTCAGCCAAACTGACGAGTAAATGAGACTGATCATCAGATCAATCAATATGGTTTTGTAAAGCCAAATTAAAATCCCTATGTGTTACACAACATGAGGACATGCAAGTAGTGCCTTTTGAAACTGATAAAAGAATAAGTAACCAGCCAAATATCTGCACCAGACTATAACTTGTTCATCCAACAGTGCAGCATTAGAGCTTTAAATCCCACCAGGTACTGGAAACAGTGAAGCCTGTTACTTACAGACTGGCCCTTCTTGTGCTTGCGTCTGTACAGCACAGTCCAGTTGATCTGTCTGGGATTCCTCTTGGCCAGGAACGCAGCCTCACATTTGCCATTCAGAAACTGAAACACCTAACGAGAACAGGAACAAAAGTAACATTTTTAGACCACCAGTTTATAAATCCCTATAGACAGGTTTACTTTAGAATGTGCAATGAAGTGAGATTTCAGACATGGATCATCCTTTCAAAGCACTAATCACAGATCAAACATTAACATCTACAACATTTGACATTGTGAAAGGATTGTTGGTAGAAAGTAGCACACATGCCAGTCATTTTAGTGGAGGCTGCTTTGAGAGCACATCAACTCATTTATAGCAATTATGTATGTATAAGAATTCCCCACTAATAAAGGATTTCTGATCATAAATATTATTTAATGTTGGCACTCTCATACAGTTTAAAGGTCAATTGTATATTATATTCATATGAAGCATGCTGTGCATGCCATTTCCTTTTTGTCAAGCACTAAGAAGTGCATTTCTTGTATGAAAGATGCTTTGAGAACATGATATAATAATTTCCTGGGTGTATAGTACATAGTGCTGCAATTCACTTAACATACTGATACCATAGTGACAGGTTGGATAGCAAGGCAATATATGACACTGTTTTAAGTTAACATTTCCAAGCTCTACAACTGTTCTGAATGAACACAACACAGCAGTGTCAGACCTACAAAAAAGCAGCACATTAATAGAATTAGTACATTGTTATGTTAGCATGTTTCATAGCACTCAATGTAGCTGACTGGGCCTACTCCAGGCACTGTTGCTAGGTTATAAACTTGCATATTGGGCACAAACCACAAAACTTTCTGATCATAAACTGCAGTCTACCTCTTTGCAGATAGTTTGTATTTCTTTTTGATGGCTAAGGTAGTTAGGAGTTGCTTCAGATCCTCAAGGCAATGAGAAAGTGTCCAACACTTGCATGTTTAGACTAGAATTTTAAAAGGTTGGAATTGCATTTAACATACGTCTAAGCACGTTGTAGAGACCCAATGTGCCATTGAATCAGACGGCACATAATACAGTCTGAGTTGAGAATGATGTAGCGTGTAGGAGAATTTGGAGGCTGGCCAATGGAGAAATGTCATTTAAGACGTCAAGGACCAGTACTATGACCTCCTGTTGCTCTATGGCTGCAGGTGTGGAGTGAGCACTGCTGCCCAGCCTGCAAAACGCAGTCAGGCAACAGCACATGACACAGATCGACACCGTGCACACCGTTCACCCTCAGCCAAACTGACGAGTAAATGAGACTGCTCATCAGATCAATCAATATGGTTTTGTAAAGCCAAATTAAAATCCCTGTGTTGCATACAACATGCAAGTAGTGACAGGTTGGATAGCAAGGAAATGTATGACACTGTCTTATGTTATCAACATTTCCAAGCTCTACAACTGTTCTGAATGAACACAATAACAACACAGCCGCCTCAGACCGACAAAAAAGCGGCACATTAACAGAATTAGTACATTGTTATGTTACTATGCTGTAGCGCCATCAGTTAACGCTAGCAGCTAAAGCTAGCATGTTTCATAGCACTCAATGTAGCCGACTGGGCCTACTATACTCCAGGCAGTGTTGCTAGGTTATAAACTCTCATATTGGGCGACAAAGACAGCAAAAATAAAAGTTCGAATGCGACGAATTTTACTTCACACCGTATCTATGGCAAGGCAGCTAGAAACCGGTTTCGTGTTGAATGGTTAACGTACCTTTCCATCTATCCTGGCGTATCGGCGGCCATGGCCAGGATATATTTTATACCCGCTGAAACTGCACAACTCGACCCTGAAAACAAGAAATACAAGGCATCACTAAAAGAAAAGGGTACACCGTAAGGCATAATGTATATAAAAGCGTTATAACGTTTATTTAAACGTTGAGATGGCATTTGATAGTATTCTGTACACTCACTTCATGATGGCTACGAGAGGGCACAAAACCGGAAAGAAAGATGACGGCGACGGAAACGGAATTGGAAAGAATGAGAATTGGTATTTATGAACTAATAAACGGTAAATATTTATTTTAGTCAGTTGACGTGTCGTTCATAATGAATACATTATATACACATGTTGATAATGATTTGCTTTCTACTTAAAAAATAAATAAAATGAATACGTTAGCTAATCATCACACGGTTTACGCAGGGATTACGTCACAATCTGACGGTTGCCTAGCGGTTGAGATTTCTCGTTTGATTAATTTATTCTATTTTAGAAAAATATTAAATGTACATTCAATTAAATATCCACCATCAATTCGTGGGCGTTTTTGGTCATAATAGTTATTATTTTTTCTGTGTTCGATACTACCTTGTTGGCGGTAGGAAATGACGATGTGTGTAGTCTTCTCAAGCGACAGAGCCCACACTCCAAACGAGCGATGTGTCTTGTCTGGACTACAATTCCCCTAACCTCCTTGGTTTGAACCGTTTGACAAGCGACAGACGCCTCTTGTCTTTCACACCAGACTGTAGTAGCTGGTATAGTTTTTAGATAACATTCGGTGTTGCCTGATGCGACAGGATGGGGGTATCAGATTTACAAATCGACACAAATGCTGGTAAGTGGCTATGTTATTGGTTTCGCCAGACAAAAAGCGATGGTTATTTTTTGTGTGTAACGCTAGCCCTTGTGAGAAGGTTTATTATTAGCAACCCAACGTTAGCTTAGCTAGCATGTATCTCCACAGATTCCTGCACTGCAGTAAGCTAACGTTACTAACGTTGTATCTGATGCTGCTGATCAAAACAGCATGTGTCAATCCTCTATTGACAGATTTACATATAATCTTGTAGGAAAGATTAACAAAGCAATAATATCAGGCTAACTCACTGTGTTGTGCTAATGTTCTGCAAGTTGTCTAGGTAACGTTAGCTAAATAGTGAAAGACGAAATAATGACTTATCTTTGCCATACTTGTCATTCTAAAATGTCTACTGTTTGTATTGCTCGTACTTACATTCTGCACTATATAGTTTATACTTTTACTTGAACTACCTGCTGTAACTGCTGCAATTGTTTACTGTACATACTGTATATTAGATTTGATGAGATTTACTTTGTTTCTCCCAATTTGGGAAGCTGTTTTGTTAGCTTCTAAACAAGGCATTGCACATGAATTAACAACAAAATAAAATAGAAACTAAACACAAGTTATCTTAGCTAACATGCATCTCCACAGCATTTGGATGCTCAAGTACCTGCACTCCGAAGAAGGAAAGTGGAGTCTAATCTGAATGTAATGCTGTGTGTTTTGTAGCCAAAAGGGATTAGCAAAATAAAAGTTGTTGTGGTGTCTCAGTATGTCTAATCTCCACCTTATTTGCTCCTACAAGGACCTGTGGTGGATCTTTCAGCACGCGGTATGCAAAAGCTGGATCCTGATTTAATCTGCTCCGAGGACACTCACACTCTCATCCTGGACCGTAACCAAATAATGAAACTGGACTATCTGGAAAAGAGTCCTGGCCTTCAGCAGGTACACTTTAAAACCCTTTGCTTGGTTTTACTATCTTCATTTACAAGCTTAAAGTGAACTTACTGATGACTCGGTGGATAAATATAAGTAAATGTTTTTGATAGAATGCCTTTTGTAACATATTTTTATTTTCCCCTTTAGCTATCTGTAGCCAGTAATCGCCTGGTGAGAATGATGGGTGTGTCTCGGCTAACAGAGTTGACAGTCCTCAATCTTCCAAATAACAGTATTGGATATATCGAGGGGCTAAGAGACATGCCAAACCTTAAATGGCTAAACCTGTCTGGGAACAATATTAAGGTGAGTGAGACCGAGTGATAGATACTGCATCTAATGTATTCACAATAATGTCATTTCATAGATCGAACAATTAGTTTCAGCTTATGGGTTATTACTAGGGGTGCACCGAATGGGAAATTCTTGGCCGAAACCGATACCGAAAATAGGAAACAGTTGGCCGAAAACCGAATGCCGAAAGGCCGAAAATGATTAATATATATATATATAATGTATACATTTTTTACCAATGTTGTTCTGATTATGGAAATAGACATGATTATGGCAAAACTTAACTTAAATAATAATCACTATTATGGGTCCATAAAACATTTATTCAGCACTTTTGAATGCATACAGTACATTTATATATGTCATGTATTATTGCTAAAAAACATTATATCGCAGTCTTAGTGTCGCCAACTCGTTTCTAATATGCAAAGACAACAAATGCGTCTATGATGTATTTTCGATCAGACGAGATCTCTCTCCCCCGTCTGTGTGCGAGGGGGCGGGGCAGTTTACACACACGCAGCTGCTACATGCAGCGGAGCACACTGCGGAGATGGCGGAGAGAACGCGCTCCGAGGTGTGGTTAAACTTTACCCGTCTCGATGTGGAGAATACTTGTTACCATAAGTGCAATAAGAGTTTAGCATGTAAGCACGAGCAATTTGTCTAAACATTTAGCAAAAGTGCACCGCATGCAGACGGAGGAATGTACCGGGTTCGACTGTCTTTCTAGCAGCTCTGTAGCTCCATCACGAGTAACGTTTCCACGTCAGGTGTTATGTATGCTAGCAGCAACACACGGAGTTAACTACATGATACAAACATGGGTTAATGATTAGAGGAAACTGAGTTATTTATTTTGTTAAAATTTCAGCTATTCTGTTTACAGTCTGTCATCAGATTATTTAATACGATTTGTTAAAGGCTCAGGGCAATCTCGATGACAAAGGTCAATGTTCCCCCCCCTGTGAGCCAGCCGCGAGCATGGTCGCCGCGTCTTTATTACGTCATCACAACGTTAGGTTACCAACGTAAGCCTGTTCTGACATTCGGTGATATTTTTTCGGTGCTTCGGCCGAAAGGGCCTTTTTAACCATTTTCGGCCGATAATTTTCGGTGGCCGAATATTCGGTGCATCCCTAGTTATTACATATTTGAACTGACTGTACACCCTTTTACACAGGTCATTGAGCAACTCAACAACTGTGTTTCTCTTCAACATCTGGATCTGTCTGACAATAACATATCTACCATTGGTGATGTGACTAAACTGGTGGCATTAAAGGTGAGCGCTGGGGTCTCTGAGTTTAAAAGTGAGCATTAAACAAACTAAATCACAGATCAGTGCTATTCTTTTCTGAAAACAAATGTATTCTTTGATACATTTCCTGTCCATTTTGCAGACACTATTACTCCATGGAAACAGCATTACAACACTACGGACTGTGCCCGTTCATCTACCTGCCCAATTATCCATTCTTTCGCTGGCAGAAAATGAGATAAGGGATCTTAACGAAGTAATTGTTCTCTTACATGTTCAGCACTAATCTCCTTTTAAATGATATAGAAGCGAATTATCCCTTACCGACTTTTCTTTGATTTTTCCATAGGCATCGTACCTTGCACCTCTCCATGAACTGGAGCAGCTTTCCATTATGAGCAACCCTTGTGTCATGGCAACCCCATCATTGCCGGGTTTTGATTATCGGCCATATGTTATGAGTTGGTGTCTGAGCCTGAAGGTCCTGGATGGCTATGTGGTGTCACAGAAAGAAGGGTGTGTACAATCCTTTGTTGTTACAATATGCCTGTTGAAGACAAGATGAACACAGGGGTACTGTATACTGACATTTGAATCTCTTACTTATGGTGTATACATGTCATGATTACAGTCTCAAAGCAGAGTGGCTCTACAGTCAGGGAAAAGGACGTTCATATCGACCAGGTCAGCATGTTCAGCTGGTTCAATACCTGGCCACTGTTTGCCCTCTGACATCATCACCGGCACTGGAGACGGCAGAAGACGCCAAACTGGAGAAGATCCTCAGTAAGCAGAGGTATAAATCTATAAAGGGCATTACTGCTTCACGATATAAAGCTACAAAAACTGCACAGAGAAGAAAATCCTTACTTTAGGGTCACAAAAACCCTGCCATACATCATTGTTAATAGAACCTATTTACTTACAATGACCTCATGTTTGCTTTAACATTTCCTCTGCCTCTCAGGTTTCACCAAAGGCAGCTGATGGAGGAGACCCGAGGAGGCTGCTCTAGCCTTCCTCGTCCAACTCAGCTAGACGTGGAGAGGCACAGTCCTTCACATCCCGTCCCACAGGGGGGAGCCAGAGAGGTGAAACAGATCGATGCACCGGCACCAGCTGCTGCGCCATCAGTCTTGGAGACAGGTGAGAGGGCTTATGTCGCAGTGTTTTTACAGCGTTTTAGGACTAGA